GCACTATTTTTAATAAAGTAAAGAGTACATTTCAGCTATAAAGCATTTATTCTCAAAATTTCCGTATTTTTTACATGCACTAATAATAAAAAAAACCCTTTGTTGATCTTTGCATCAAAGATTTTCTATTGTAAATTTAAGGAGTGCACGTTGATCAGATTTTCGTAATGCGGTCATATTAATGTCAAAGATTAATTCCAAAATTGATCCTTAAGACTACAAATCATATAAAAAGGTGAGGCTTTATTTAGTGAATCCTTTATCCGCCTTGTGCAAGTAAAGTAAAAAAAAAATAAAAGAAATATCCAAACTTACCACTACTAACATCAATCAATATCAACAATCAATCAAACGAGTATATTCCGCAAAGTAATAATAAAGTAAGTTAGTTTATTGCTCGGCTAGCTTCTTGAAACATGTCATCACAGTGCTAATCGATTTCCCCACCTCTAAATGTTCCAAAATAAAACGGACATATTACTCTTCTTGTTATATATCGGCATTTTGATCTTCGCCGAGAAAATCTTTGACAATCATCACGCGTATAATAGACACGGTGAAATTACTCACAAAATTACTCACATGAATCTCGTCACATACAACGGCACAGCAAAAGTCTGGCACAGTGCATCAAAAAATTTATCTTATATAAGCATCTTCACATGCCAAATTCTTAAAACTTTGCGCAGTATCGTACCGGCGATAACGCAGAAAAAATTAAGCAATAAATTTCTTGTGTATGAGGCGGAATGGAATTATGTGAAAATGAATCGTGATGGTAAGTGTAAATCGTTATTGTATTATTTTTTTTACTTCAGTTGCTAATACTTCCGTAATTATACTATAGGTTCAAAATTTCTTAATTTCAGAGAAGTTCTCTTTCGAGAAATAATGTTTTATGTGTTTTGGAGAGATATAGATAGATAAAACTGTAAATATGGGCGGGATAATTTATTTCGGAAATCTAGTATAGTAAATGGGGGTGAGAATCACGTAATTAGCAATAGAAGTAGAAACAAATTAGTTATAGATATTTTTTGTAAATGTGAGAGAGCAAAGAAATAACTTGATGCTGGGACTCGCATTAAATGGCCTAGGATCCGCGTACTCCCTCCCTCTTTGATAGAAAAATTATTAAATATAACCCGATATTATATCAGCATCCGATTGATCCGATTGACAACTTGCACGATGTCCCTGTTGTAGTCCAAACGTAACCATGTTCCAAATCCGACTTGGGATATCCTCAAATCAAACTTGGAACAAGCTTATGTCCCAAATTTAACATATCCCAAATTAATCTAGTCAGATTTAAAATATTAGTGTCCTAAACTACGATGTAAGACTGGGACATGGTCAAGTTTCGGATATAAAATTTTCCCAAGGGACATGGTCTACAATACTGATCCCTTGGTAAATCTTACCATGTTTAGCGTCACACTGACATGTGACTGGCTGGCCAAAAACGCGTAACAAACTTCAAAAAAACCTCTTAGCGCTATGCCTAAGGTCTTTTTTCTTGTTTTTCTTTTCCATATTATGATATGGTCTTACCGACTTTTTCTTTGCTTATTACCTTTCGTTAATAATTAGGTCGAAAGAAACGGAATGGAATACTTTAACGAAACAAATCCGAATGAATGGTCGCTTAATGGATATCTCAAATGGAGATCCAAGTTTAAAGATTTTTCCAATAAAGTATATGAACATAGTGTCTTTCATGATTTAATCAAAAAGATTTCTGACCAAGGTGGAGCTGGGAGCAGAACGGCGAAGCTGATATTGAAAAATTGGAAGGTTGTATTTTTTTTTAAAAAAAGTTTGTTGATGGGCTAAGAATCCGCAGATTCTTAGTAGACCAAGGGTTATTATTGCTACACACTAGTGAACCACGAAGTTGCACAGTGATGACCAAGAGTCGGTAGTGATTCATCAACAGACTGCCGGATAGCGAGGCACCTCTGAACCATGTGTTGCAGAGTGTTTTTGACCAAGAGTCAATCGCTATCTTTCAGCGGTAACTGTAACCTTTAATATGAATGTTAAAATAGTTTAACATACTAATACAATAATTCATTAATTTAAGGATGAAAAGGATTCTTTGGAAGTAAACTCTTTTTGGAACAACTGTGAAGAAATAGACCAACAAAGTGAGAGGAAGAGAAAGATTTGGAAGATAGAATCTGCAGATGTAAGTTCATTTTACTGTTATAGTATCGGCAGTAACTTCTCCATTGGAATCATAAATGTGCTTTAGACCTCTTATAGTGTCATGTTTTACTAGTGGGATTATCTTCACACACGCGATCAACAACTAAGCAAACATGTCAAGATCATCCGTGAAAATAGATGCAAGCATCTTGATCAAGATGAGGTAAGGAGAAAGCTAGCATGTTCTTCGTATAGATTCATTTATTATGGTAATCTTTATTTGCCCTTTTAGTATAATCAAAAATCTGATGATGAAGAAAGTTCAGAACCGAAATCGGATCTTGATGATAATGAGAAAGTAAGTCATATACGCTAGAGCAATTTGATTGACTTGATTTCAAATCGTCCAACTAAAAAATTTCCTGTTTCTTGTGGCGTGAACAGGTCATGATCGACGAGCAGACCGAACAAGATTTGACAAAAATAGATGACAATAACTCCCTTAAAAAATCGTTCAAAGAGAAATATGACAAAATGGAAGATGATTGGAAGTGGAAGCTCTCATGTACGGGGCGCGTCGTGGAGGATGTTATTTACGAGAACATTTCAAATTTTGCGAGTGAACAGTAAGTATATTGAGTTAATGCTTAAAATTTTTTAGTCTAATAATTTAACTTGCTTAATTTCGCGATAGTTTACTACATTCATTCATAATTGATGTGGACGATCCGATGATCACAGGAATATTCTTTCCTGCTGAAATAGATGAAATAGAATCAACAAATGTCAAGGAGGAACAGGAATTAAGTAACGAACTTTACGAAAACCTTACAAGATATTATGACAAGGTTTGTTGAAAACGCATTGTGAACAAGACTGTTGTGTCATAGTTTAACGTGTTTTATACAGAAAAGTGTGGTTGAGATCAGAAAGATTATAAGAGAGGCCAATCTTGGTTGTTCGAATTTTGAAATCGAAACACTTGCATATTCTATTTACAGTTTGTAAGTATAGTAAGAATACTAAATTTAAAGAGTATGAACAGCATGTGAATGATTTAATATGTGCTATATTTGCAGGGTACGACAATACGAACTTAATCCAAGAGGGTTCTCCTTGGGACATTACGAAAATTGGTACAACGTGAACATATGGGGGCCTGTTATCGATAGGATATACGATGACATTCCAAATATTGACATTGTTCGGTAAGTACTAATTGAAATATCGAAATTGTAAGGACATTTTGTTAACTAGCCACAATTTTTATTAGTGGTGAATCGTCAAGCTTAGCTAGTTCAGATCGAAAAAACCGTAATCGTACAACGAATACTCGAAAAAAAATGGGGAGAAGAGGAGACGCGATAATACGAAAATGTTCAAGCGGAATACGACATGAATTTGGAGGTTCGGAAGTTGGCAGTCATTATGAAGGTCAAAATGCCACAAAGTGGCTTAATGAATCTGGTCTAAAGCTACCTAAAATGTTGAGAGACATGTTCGTTAGTTTGTGCAAGAGTGTGGACTGGGACTTGGAAAAAATGAACAATGTGGAAACAGTAGGATATATTCATGGAGGTATGTTATTATCATTTTTCTTCCGACTATCCCAGATGATTTTCTAATACATATATTTTACAGGTTCAGTTCTAATGATCATAACTCTGGATCTTCCTGCCGGATATATACATCGTCTCTCTAAGAGTGACCTGTATAATATACCGGAAGATATCGAATCTTTCAACAAGGCGTTAGAATTAATAACTGCAGTTTGGAAAAGTAAGGTAATATTGGTAATATTTACTCTATTTTATTTTATCTATTAAGGGCTGAATCGATGTTACTTTTGTTACTTTACAGAAACAAGTCGTCCGAACCATGGAATTATTACAGGAAAATGAAAAAGATTCTAGTAAACGTTTGAAAAATGTATCCATACGCAAAAGAAGCAATCGTACTAACAACCAAACTAGCAAGCCTAAAAAAATTCTTCCGGATAATCAAAATACACCAAAAAAGACAAAGAAATGATTGGGGAAATCACGTTACGCACTTTTATTTGCGATTTATCTTATTAGCCGTAGTAATGTAATCTAGCATTTAATAAAAAAAATAATTGCCCTTATCTTTTACGTGTGTATGCCTGTATGCAATGTGCACCGGGAATGTGATTATCGATTAAGTGTGTTTGTTTTGTATCACTTGCATAGTAATCTTAACACATTTTTTATCCAAGCCTAATATCACGCTGTCCGTTTCTGAAACTGACACTCCAGGCCGGCGTCATTCCTCCCTTTAAACGTGATCTACTCCAATATCTTTTATTAGTTTCATTTTTTGCTTAGCCGGCCGGCCCTTTCTCACATATTATTTACAAATACAATAAAGATTTACTTTGAGTTTTTTAAACGTGTTTCGTGTTTTACAAGTGATATTTATTAATTACATTTGCTTATTAATACAGCTATAATTGAAAAAAAACAAACAGCTAGAACATTAAAATGTTATTCTACAGTTGCTAAGCGCTATGTATATATTAAAAAAAACATTCTATTTCCTATTGTTCTTCCGAACTGCTTCCTTTGCTACCATAATTAATTGTTACATTAATTACATTTGCACTTTGAGAAAAAGAGGGGAGTGTTGGAATGACAGGTTTAGAGACTATAGGAGTCTCAGTAGAAGATGTTACAGGTTTTGATGATTTGGTTTGTTTATGTGGAGAGGAAGAAGTATCAGACCCAGTTTCGAGAGAACCAGGTGTTGAGAGTGTTGATAGCGTCGTAGAACGTTGTGATCCTAAAAACAATAAATATTTTAAGGAGAATATCCTAGATTTACCAAAGTAAACACAAATATCAGAAAAACAAATACCAGGTTCTTTTCAAAATTATAGAGAACTCTTCGTAATAATGTTCTCCAATAATACTTCTCTTCTTTTTAGTTATTTCCTTAGCTGGTGGTTAGTCCCCCGCTCCTGTCTCAGATTTCTCATTAGTTGATGGTCTCTCCTGAGACCCAGCTTCCGCTTTAGCTTCCTTATAAACCTTGGCCATCTACATATAATAAAGATACAAGATCAGAGTCAGGTTAAGTATAATGCAAAGCGTTTTCAACTGCTTAATTATCATATTACTTACGTAGTATGCTTGAGTTAGAACCAAGAATTTCTTATTGCAATCTTCCCCAGTGAAGTAATTTGTATTATTTGCTTGATTAATATTTTTCGCAATCCTCTTTCAGAAGTTTCTCTTATTGCGGGTTCGGTGATATTCTTCATTACCATTTTTACATTCATCAATTAGCATGCGGGTTTGTTTCTCGCTCCACTGTGCAGACATTTTTAAGTTTATAGAGGAAGGAAGAGGTAAAAAGACTCGCTTATATAGGCCATATTTGGGGGACTGAGTAAAATTAAATTAGCTTCGTGTACAGTCAGCGCTTTAATTTTCATAATGATTAATATAATGATTAATTGAAAAAATAATAGTGGCTTAGTCGTATCTGAATTGTCGATCATCTCGTGATATAGGTTACGAGAAAGTGATGGGAGAGTGCCGGGGACTGTCGAGGTTCTGGTCAGGTGTATCATAATACAATAATGATAATTTAGCCGTTATATTGACTCAGATCTAAATTTAACCGAATCATGATGTCAGGCAAAATCGTTTTAGATTCACAAACCAATCTACACGTATCTGAATATAAAATTAATATAGCCGGTAAGCCTAAAAAAATGAATTTGTGTTTAGCAGTATGAAGTTTCACTAAATCGGCTATAATCAATAAAATTGCTTATAAATTTGAATCGTAATATTATCTAGTATAGGTTGATAAAGAATCAATATAACACACTGAAATTGCTATAATTCGTTAAAACGCTATAAATCACTAAGATCAGTTATAAACTATAAAAATGGTTAAAACTAACTATTCTGGTTTAAATCCTGTAGTAGTGCAGGCGTTAAACAATCTGCAATATAGATATAGTGGTGAAACACCAGAAATGTGGTGTTCTCGTGTTCGTTATCCATTTAAGAAACTTCTTGAATATAACCCAAAATACTTCTCCAAGAATGGATTTATCCTAATGGTTGAAAGATCATACATGGATGGGGAATTTAAGGTTAGAAGGCGCTCATTTAATATTTATTGCACTGTATGTGACTCCTTGGTATTTATCCGTGAAAATACCATCGAATATTCAAACAATCACCTTAATAAATGTATTGCTAGAACAGCCAAAAAGAATCTTGCATATTCTATTCATACACGAAAGAATGTGAAAAAGAGAGAAGCGTTAATCTGAAAGAGTGTATCATCACTCAGTTCTGTTAAAGTTGATGAGATTTATCTAACATATTGTTTTATATTCAAAAAAGGCTTGAATAATTATACTTATGAACATTCAAATGAAATTAAGAAAAGGATTGTAAATCGCTTAATTAATAATGTAAGAGTTATCCAACAGGCTTGAAGGAGTTACAAGAAGAGACTTGCGTCATTCGCATCTCAAATTTGGAATGCGCTAAGAAATGATGGTACTACTGATAAGAAGAAGTTTTTAGGTGGTGATTGGGTATAAGATAAGAAAATTCAATTATTTGTAAGATTCCACAAAGTATCAGTAAAAATAATTGAAAATTCTGAATATTATCATAGACAGGTAACTGCTTATCTGAATAAATCACGTGGCGAAATTATCCGGTTAGTATATTCACATTTTGGACTGGATAATTATATTGGAATGAATGTATGTGCATAACAGTATAACAGTATAATGTGACTAATGTAGATTTATTAATGAATTTTCCAGATCAGTGCTTGATCACGATTCCAAATATTATCAATAAAAAAACTATATATTTTTTACTTCGTCACAATGCATGTAGGCATATGTGACATAAATTAGCACGTTTTCGATCCTTATTAAAATGTATATAATGTAATGTTGAGATCTTCAATGCACATTCCACATGCCCTTATTCTTTGAATACGGGCGTAAAGTGCCTTGCATATTCTCCTATCCCTTTCTCAACATGATTGTAAGCTTAGAGGAAGTAAATGGAGTCATTTAAAAGGAAGTATAGTAAAATTATTATGCTTTTACATTATTTTTTACTTCGCTTAGCAAAGCTTTCACTAACATTTAACATTTACTTTATTAAACATGGAAGAGTTTCTTTTAACAAGAGAACCCCTCGATATTGTCAGAATTTCCACGGCATTATCTGTACAAGTGGAGTAAGATGAATAGACAGGTGTTCTTGAAAAGGAGGTGAAGAACTTTGCCAATGTTTTGGAGCGAGTTTTGGAACGAACCCCTCAAAGGATATTGAGCGGATAAAGAAATTTCAAAGTTTTGGTACTGGAAAAAAATTAGCAAAACGGGTAAGGATGATAAGCTATATTCATATCAAATATATGGATATGATGTATTTTTTTAGGTTTTCTAAAGGGCTTATATGCTAGTAAATGGGTTATGTCCGTTGTGATATTATCACTTCCCGCATAGCAAATATTGGTTATTGAGTGCATTGCCGGTATTTTTGATAGTTTATGAAAATGAAAACCTAATCTGATCCTGCGAATTATTATTCACTTTAATTAACAAAATATGTTGAGTCTAAGCTAAGTTATTTATATTTAGGTTGCAAGTGCCTTCGAAGATTTATGTTCTCTTACAGAAATAAAAGCTCTGGTGATTGATGCAGAGACTTGGCCTGATGATGCAAATGCAAATTTACGTTTTTTAAAACATGATGTCAGTCAGCTTATAAATCAGAATACTGATTATGAGAAAACTATGTGGGAAAGAATCGAAATGGAATTAGAACAAGTAAGTGTTGAGAGCCTTGAATTCGACCATCCAATATGTTCTGGAGTCCTCGATATTAGATCTGAACTTTTTACGAAGATGCCTGGATCATTTTGTGATGTTTTTAAGGAACCTTTCCAAAAATATAAGCTAGATCAGAATGATATTATAATGGATGTTTGTAAAGAGTTCATTCATAATGAAAAATCGAAGATTAATGTGAATGATGATTTGAATAATGTTGAATATGGGAGATGGCTAGATAAGTCTGAAATACTTCAAATAATGTCTAGACAAATACTAGAAGCATTGTAAATTCTTTATTTTTTCATAGAAGATGATCAAATTTCTAATAATCAATAATTCTTTACAGGCTTAGAGTCTGGAAATCACCCAAGTACGAAGTCTATTCGAAGAAAGGGAAACCAGTTAATGAAGGATCATACATTTGCGAAGTACTTGCGTCTCTAATAAATATAGTGTTGAGCGATTTACCTGAGAATCCTATTGTATGGGATATATGGTAAGTTAAAACCAGATATGGATTAGCTCGAATTCAGAGCCTTACTTTGTATCATAGTATAATGATTATATTTTTTTAATAGGGGTGAGGAAGGGAGCTCAGCTAGCGTTATATGGAAAGGTTCTCGTAAATTTGAACGAAAGCCTGACTGTATGACTATAGTATAACTAGGAAAGAGTGTAGAGCTTGAAATTGTATATCTAGAAACTGGTAGACCAAACTCCACCCAAGACAAACAACAACGAGATCACAAAAAGTTGGTTCAATTTTCCAAAGACTCTATTGATACTACAAGAAATGTATCGAAGCTTAAAAGAATATTCAATCAATCATCTATGAGACAGAATTTGAGTATATTTACCATTAACATTGCCGGTATATATTAATTTATTTCACGTTTTTGCCAATCAATGATATTTAACCATATTTACTTCATATAAAATGGCAGGCGATATTATAGAACTTTATGCCATGCGGAAAGAATCGGGTATTTATAAATACTGTTTAATAGAGGAAGTAACAATTCTATTACATATAACTTTCCAAATGCTGTATATTCGCTTATACATGTGTTGATGACTCTGAGAACGGTCGTCACATGCATAATTCACAAAATATTATATAGTTCTGACTCTGGAGATAGTGAGCATAGTTCTAGTGAAATGGTAATAACGGTTTCGACCCCCAAAAATTCATAGAATAGTGATTCGATACATGTATTTTTAATAAGTTATATTATTAATAAAGCAAGTGCATCGGTTAAAAAAATTCTTGACAAAATTGCGATCTCGTCTCTTTATGTAAAACAAAATAATTTTCTGAGAATATTTTAAGTATTTTTTCCCTGGAATCTAGGTCTCAGCAAATTTTTTAGCCAATTCTAGGCGGAAAGTTTTGCCGGAAATATATGGAATACCTATACTTCTAGGAAAATATGGCATGCCTGGAATATTTTTTTCCAGGAATATTCCAAGACTATATCACTTATCTTTAAT